GAATGGCAAGGGACCGAAGAGGTTTGACAACTGAAGAAGATCAAGAAGAAAGTGTGCATGAAGGAGGAGATATGCCTATTCCCACTCTCCAACCGATTCACCCACCGAGCAACAATGCAAGAGATTATAGGATTTAAGCAATGATAGCAACCATCCTCCACAACCAACGGAGGGAGATTGAGGCACGGTTCCACATCATGGCGTGCGTCCATGTGATCATGGAGAAGATGAACATTCCGATTGACGATGTATCGACCACATTCAACCGCTTCACCTCTCCAACACCTCTACACGATGAAGAAGAAGGACCCTCTGGGGAGGAATGAGTTCTAGGCATCCATGGCCTACGTTCTATCTTTTCTTTTTCTTTGCTTTTCTCCATTTCAATTAAAACAATGTTTAATTATCGCATGAAGTTCTTTCTACTTTTCATACTTTAATTACGCTAGTAATCGTAGTAGTAGTACCTATTATATACACTTATATATCGTACCTATAACTCCTATTTGTCTTTCTCTCTATCTTATGCACTTTATCGTTGTGAAAACCACCAGGAAGACAAAGACTATATTTGTGAACCTTCACCAACCCACAACCCGATCTATGGTAACATTCACGATCTTTCCTTTGGAAACTCCCACATTGAGGACAATGTGTCGCTTAAGGTGGGGGGGGGGGTGTTTGTGTTTGTTTGAATGTCTATCATGATTGGTTGAACCATTGATTGCTAGCATTTTCCCTTGTTTGTGAATGTAAGACGTTGATGAACACTTGTGGGAGTTTCTGCTAGTAATCGTTTTTATGTTGTGGTGATGAATGGTGAAATTTTAGTGTTTTTGGAACCTTGAATGCTACACCCAAATTTTTTCAAATTTGAGGGTTCCAAAACACTTTGTCCTTGCAATTACCTACTCAATGTGCTTTGACTTGATTAGATCGATTGATTTGTGGTGCATCTTAAGTGATAGTTGCATGGTTTGAGTATCAGTATGTGATGGGTTCTGCTACGTTCTTCCTCTTTTGTGAGTCGATAATTTTTGCTACTTTAGGAAGGCATTGTTTGTAGGATTCTCTTCTTTATGTGAACTAGAAACTTTTTGAATTTGTGCTTAAAAATAGGAAAAAGAGTTTCTCACGTGAGTGGCAACCGGGCAAAGAATTGAGATCAACCGTTAAAGAATTGTTCTCTTGGCTCGGAGTGTCCTTCGAGGATGTGTTTGGCTTCTGATAGCTTTATTGCGTTCTGATCATCTCTTACTACTTACCACCCCTAAACACCTCTCCTCCTCATGGAATCGTATGCTAAGGACCAAAGGTACCTTTTAGCGATTCACGAGACCTCATAGATCTCATTTTTACCCAACATGTGTGGCAACCCAATGTGGAGTGCAGGCTGGGACGTGGTGCTCAGGCTAAGCCGAATCTGACTATTAACTTCCCCACATGTGACCTTGAAAGGGAAGGCTATGATTCATCCGCTCTTGGTCATATGAGGGAGAGATGCTATTATGCAAAGAAAAAATTGCAAAGATTCGGTGCAATGTGCATAAACGAAGAAAAAAGATACCAAAAAATGACAACTCCTACCCCAAAAGGAAGAATAAAAGCACCTCCAATAGTTCTAGTAGTCGTTTGTTGTCTGAGAATCCCCCGGAGCACATTTTTATGATCGGCCTAAGGTAGTGGGTATGGTACTCGCATGGGAGTTTGTGCTTGCATGGTAGGAAGGTAGTAGCGTTCGTTCATCCCTGTATACTCTCATTTATGCAATGAAGAACTAGCATGCATACCTCATCAATTTAGTCTATCATATTGCATTAGGTTTGAGTAGGTTTGCTTGGGGACAAGCAAACGCCTAAGTGTGAGTGAGTTTGATAACACCAAACTTGGTGTTATTTACCCTACATATTCAGGTATGTTTTATTGCCAATTCACGTGCTTAAATGTTTGAACATCATCAAATACATCCCTATTGCGTTCCTATTTGATTTCGATGTGATTCTACGGTGTATTAGTCGATATATGCAAATTAGGTACAAAACAAGGTCACAAGTGTAAATAAGGGGCAGTTCGCTAAAGATCGTGGCCTAGAAGCCAAAGATCACACGGCCAGGATCACAAGCCGCGAAGACCATTTGGATATCGCAGCCCGGAAGCTAAAGATCGCGACCGCGATCTTGGAGTCTTAGGGCACGAACTTCGCATGGAGGGAGCCTCGAAGAAATAGAGAGTTTCCCCAGTCGAATCACGACCAACGCTTATCTTGCTCGCGAGAAAGATCACTACCGTGACTCGCAGATCGCGACCGCGAAGTCAGCACAGGATCTTCCCCCCTTCAGAAGGCTATGACAATGTCGTCTTGAGATTGGGACCTATCCTAAGAAGATCCCATTCTTGGGCCGTGAACTTTCCCGAGTCCATAATGCCTATAAGTACAAGACCCCCTTCCTCTTTTTAGGAGAGCTAATTTTGAGTGAAATTTTCTGGTTCTAGAGAGAGAGAAGAGAGAGAAGCTGAAGGAAGGAGAAAAGAAGGAGAAGAAGGAAGAGCTAGGAGCAAGGAGGATCTTTCCCAACTTCAAGTCTTCTTCTATGTCTACCATGTATATTCTTTCCTCCATTATGGAGTAGTCCTCTAAGATACTAGGGGTTCTATACCCCAAACCCTAGTTTTAGGATTTACTTTGTATATATAGATGTTTTAGGGTTTGAATGAATGTGTTTGCCTAGTTGATTTTAATGCCACTCTTTCCTAAATGATGACAGTTGGGCAAATGGCCCCAATCTTCCCTCTTAGCCTGCTTTATGCTACCGCGCTGGGTACGATGTTCTAGGGTTAGACGAGTATGCACCATCTGGCGAGTTTAGGTTAGATGTGTGAATGAGGGTCTATCTATAGTGGTCGAGGCGACCGTACCCTGACTATAGTCTATAGGTGGCTTTCCTATGTCAAACCCGGGATAAAACCTCGGTGTGTACGGTGGATAGTGTCTTTTGAAATGAGCCATATACTTAATGTCCCAGATACGATATCCTAGATCGAGGTGACGGGAACATGGGTTTAGGGGAGGCGTATGGATAACGACGAAGGCCCACGGAAAAGAGCTCACTCACCACATTCGATGACCCTAGATATCTATATATGCATAGTGACGCTAAACTAGGGGGAGGATTAGTCCTCGAAGTACCTGCTTTTAGCTTTGATCAATCCTTAGACTAGAGTTTCCTCATACCCTCCACTCAAAACCTTAAAAAACCGATTAACTAATTAGCAGCTAGGTGGGAAGTAAGGTACCGGGACTCGGGTAGAATACGACATTGATTACCACTATACGACAACTTGTTCTAGGTTAAACTTGTTCTAGGATGGGGTAGTTGTGGATACGTGCAAACCTCTAACAATAACCTGCACGGATTGAAGTGATCAATAACACCAACATCATATCAATATCATGCCAACATTATAACACTACCATATCAACATCATACGACAATGATATTATACCGTTGTTACTGATAATTCATGATATGATGACCATAATTTTTTTATTTAAAAAATATCATAAATTGATATCATCTTGAAAAGCACAAAAAATCGGATATTTCTATACAAGATTTTTTTTGGATAAGGGCGATATAAGTTTCATTTTCTTATACTTAATATACTATTTAAGGGATTCGAACCTGAGACCTCCAAGTTCTATGCTAGTAGTATTACCATGCAACAATTTTTGAAATCCAACGTAATACAAATGAGTTATGGTCTGTTAAATTTTCGTGAGAGATTTGAAAAAATACTTTACTAACACCTTGAAATTCGCGTCAGTTGAATATTCTCATTCAAGCCCTGAACAAAAGCTCATTCTTTTCTCTCATCAACATCTCCTTATGTTGATTCAATAGCAGGTGGGTCATGAACAAGGTGGTTTGTGAACAAGAACAAAGGCTGTCACCCCTCAAAATTCGGACAATGGGCAGAAAATTCAGACAACTCTACTTATTTCCCACCTTACTCCTCTATGATATGGATAATTGAATCTTCCTTTATTAAATCACAATCAATCATACCGCAAAACTAATGAGTTTTGTACCCTGAACCAAGTCATAAAACAAGTTCCATCTGACAAAAAAAAAAAAAAAATCACGAATCAAAGGGGTAAACGCCTAAAAAGTAAAAAGCCTTGGTTCATTCAACTATAGCTGAAGAGTCATGTCCGAGCAGGAAACCCAAGTGTGGCTACCTTACCAACATCCCCGATTCAGCTCGCGTGGCCCCCTTTAACTATAACTCTTTCGATCCCAAGACTGATTCTCATCCCCAGACACCCAATAGGTCCACGAGACTAACAGCAATACAAGTGCATCGACGGCCGCAATTGCAGTCTTTTGCTGGCACCCACCTGCTTCTACGCACAAAGTCATACAAATGGCAACACAATCAACCGATACAATCAAGCGGCAGTAGCACATGTATTGAGTTGGAGGCTGGTCAGGCTAGGGGAGCCCAACGCCTCATCAATTGGAACACTTCTCATCTTTCCAAAGTAGAGACTTACAGACAACTCAAGTAAGTTACATAAACAACTTGAAGCTTGATTGATAATCTCATGCTACACTTGTTTAAATGCTGCCCTAAAACAAAAATCAAACTGCTAAAAGGAAAGGTTTCCTATTTAGAGAACAGCTAGACGAAGATAAAAGGGGGGAAACTCAGAATCAATCTATAACCCACTTGGCTATGATATGATGGCATTGGTACAATATTTGACGGGAATGAATTATGCAAAATCTTCATGGTAAAGAATCAGTCGGGAATCTAAACCACAAATGTGTCAAGAGGACACCCCTACAATACACAGAATAATGTAAAGATACAGCACAACGGCAGCAACCAGAACCCCCGCCAGGATAGCTCATACTAAAACATACATCGCCACAGCCTGCTACAATGCATTATCCCAATTTCTGAATAAGCTAAATCCAGTCAACAAATCAATTAGTTTACAACTGAGTGAGTTCTGGTGGGTACTCCATAGACTGTCTGTATATATACTCTGCCCTCCTCTTCTTGTCATCCCTCTCGTCCTCCCGGCCTAATGACTGCTCCGATCTCCATTCCACCTTCTTTGTAAGATGCACATCTAACGGTTCAACTAACATTCTCTCCCTAGTTTTAAACCTAAACTTCACAGTATGCCTCTTCTCTGGGAGCAAAGTCCTTCCCCCTTCACCATCACCATCACCATCCTCATTAACCCCTACTTCTTTAGCTGCCTCAATAGCTGGGGCAAACGGCTCCATCACAGAGACATGCTTCTCCATATTATTTGGCACAGGAACCGAAGAAGTACCCTTCTCCCCAGGCTTCAAAAGTTGCCTGAGGAAAGGGTTTCCATCAGTTACACCCGTTTCCTTGACATAATCACTAGCCAGCACACCAGATGACGAAGCACCTGCTGAGCGATTACTGGCCAGCCTCTGCTGCAGACTCAACAAAGCCCGCTCTGCCTTTCTCCTTTGGCGAGCTTGCTCAATCTTCTCTGCCCGAGGATCTGAAACCCTCTCATCCCACATTGGTGTATGCATATATGTGTGCTGATCTGGCAATGCCGGTAACCAAGCCGGAATATGATTCCCCGGAGGTGTTTCGTTCATTTTCTCAAAACTAGGAATTAACTTGCTCTCTCTAACAATGGGGAACTGTGGTACTGGTTGTGCAAACGGGATCTCTTCCTCAGACTCCACAAAATCAATTATATTTCTAATAGTGCCAGAACTAACAAGACAACTACCGGAATTATAAGCACCTGGAAATCCTTGATAGGAGCCAATATCTTCAAAACCTCGAACAACATCGAAGATGCTACATTGCGTTCTGCCACATATATTGGCGTTGGAGCTTGCCGTCTTGCCCAGGTCACGGAGGTACCGGAGGGTTACGTCAGTTAGAGCATCCAAGGCCGACTCTTTCAACCCCTCAAAGCCAACCTTTTCACAAACCTGAGCAACAGCCTTTCTTGCCACTGCGTAGCCAAAGTCGTCAGCTTTTGATCTTCCCGGTGTACTCTCTGCACCTCCATTGCTCATATTTGCACCTTCATGTCAAAATTAGGGTTTCAAAACACCCCCAACCTGACCAGTTATTCTCATAAAATTCATAAACCTAGACTCATCCCAATACACACCACGAAGAAACCATTAACCGAACTAAATAATAGAAAATTCGCTCGTCACGTCTCCCCAAAGCTCGGCAGGGAAGAGCACAGACGAAAAGAATGATTAACCAATCCGACTCAGTCCCAGCTCAAGACGGATCTCTCAGACAAGAAAACAGCAGAACACAGATCCAACTTTGCCCCTTGAGTGAATTGCACAACCCTAAAACCCTTGAAAAGGAATTTCCATAGCAAAGAAGGGTGTCCCCGAAAGAAGCAAACCGAAGGGAAAGATTCGGTAGAAGGAAAGAGCAAGACGGGTAAAACCCTAGCCAGAAAGCGAAGCCCTGAGGGGTTTTCGCGAAATGAGGAACGCGCGGGATGGAAGAAAGTTGGGATTTTTGGAGGGAAATTGGGGATGGCCTCACTTTTCAAGCGGTTGGGAGTGGATTTGGAAGCAACAGAAGGGAAGAGGAGAAGAGAGGGACTAAGAAAGGGCGTGATTCGGTGCAGCAGATTAGACTAGAGGGCCGGCATTGCCAAGAGCGGCACTGTTTTTTTTTTTTTTTTTTTATATAGACCGAAACTCTCGAGGCTCGAGAGAAGCGAATGACGACTTTCATCCCTCACGCGCTCTATCACGGTACACGCTCCCCTCGGTAAGTCTCCGATTGGGCCTTTGGCCTTTTCAGTGATGGGCTTTTATAGGCTTCCCGATAGACCAGGCTTGCCCGATAAAGATGGACGGGTTGTTTTGCTTTGGTTTCTTGTTCAGCTCGGCTGGCTGGTGGAAGAAGAGAAGAGAAGAGAAGAGAAGAGAAGAGAGGAGAGGAGAGTAGAGGTGAATCCTATCCTACCAATATTATATACACGTTCCCCGTTAAAATTCTCGGAACAGTAGAATGCTGCTTCCTGCGCAACTTACGGAAGGGCTTTCTAGCCTTTTTGAATACTGTGCTTTGACGTTCTGTTTGGGTTCTACAACTTCTACTACAGTCCCATGGGTTTGGCACTTATTTGGCTTGGCCCCCACTTCTTATTCAAGCACACTAAAAAGAAACCAATAAGTCAAAATCATAACGGTTTTACAACTATTAGGCCAATAACCCAATTTCCGAAACCCATGTCACAGTAACTAATTAATAAACTATTAGTCCATGGTCCAATTTCCAATGGCATGCTAACTATTAGTTTTAGTTAACATTTATCCGAATAAAAGATAATTATGGTTTGAACTTTCAAATAAAATAGTTTTTCTCGAATTCTGACAGAAGTAGACAAATTTGGCTCGAAATTTGGTTGACCGTTAATATTGACTGTCAAACATTTCACAAAAGATAGTTTTGACTGAATTTTGGAATAAATGAACAAATTTTAGCTTGAAATAAATGATGTGAAAACCACATTGGAACCACCTCAGCATATTATAATGAGTCATAGAGGAAATAAATATTTGACCGTCAGTATTAACGGTCGACCTAAATTTTGGGTCAAATTTGTTAATTTCTTCCAAAATTCGAACGAAACTGCCTTATTTGAAAATTACGGCAAAAATTGTGTTTTATGTCAAATAAGCTATTAACACCTTTTTTGTCGAAAGGTATTATCCTTTTTAGTTAAATACAAAATTTTAAAGTTCTAACCTTTAGTAGATTTGTTGGATATGATTTATCAATTAAATATTGAAAAAATTTTATTTTATGAATATAAATATTATTTGTTCATGAATATAAAAAATTGACTATGGAAATACTATCATTCTCATGTGTATCTAGGACACACTTAAAATATTATCAATACCAAAATTGTGGATGTTATTCTACGGCCTACGGGGCAAGATAGTCGATAGATGCCAGTTAATGTCATTAACAATCTTTTAATTACTGGATCGCTAATTTTGCATATGAGAAGACATTGTTTTCATCTGCACTCTACCCGTTGGTTTTGGCGACTAAATTATTGTTAATTCGCATGACATTGACATATAATATAATCAATTAATCGCAACCGGCCAACGGACTGGGGTACCATCTAGTAATGGAGAAGTACTTTGGGAGAGAGGATCCAGTGACTAGGGGGTGCTTAGTCACTTGACTAAGCTTCTCCCAGCCTTTAGATATGGATATAACAATCTGATGGTTAAAAAGTGGGAATGACTATTTAATTAATGACAGGGGTAGTTTGGGTATTATGAAAAATTACGAAGTATACAAACCAGACTTACAATCAGTACAAACCATACAAACATACGAACAGTACAAAACTAGAGCGACAAAACATACAAACAAATTTACAAACATTACAAATATATGAACTGTACAAAAAATACAAACTAGACCGACAAACAATACAAACCATACAAAAAGAAAAAACAACCGGGTTGACTTTGGAGGCTCCATCCCTATATAGAGGGGCTCCTTCCCAAAGTCAACCCGGGTATTTTTTAGACATACAAACATTGTGGACAAAAATGACAAACTAGACAAAAAATTCATACAAACTGGAAAAACACCGGGGTTGACTTTGGAGGCTTCAACCCTATATAGAGGGCTCCGTCTCAAAGTCAACCCGGTTGTTTTCTAGACATACAAACATTACGAACATGGTGGACAAAAATGACAAACTAGACCAACAATCCATACGAACTGGAAAAACACCCGGGTTGACTTTGGAGGCTCCATCCCTACATAGAGGAGCTCCATGCAAAAGTCAACCAGGTTATTTATTAGACATAAAAAACATTACAAACATGGTTGACAAAAATGATAAACATGGTGCACAAAAATAACAAAGTTTACAAACATTACAAAAAAACCCCGACTAACATTACAAAATAACAAAGCGTACAAACATTACAAAATAAACCGACAAACAGTACAAAACATACTAGCCGTACAAAATGTCAGTAAAAATGACAAACAATACAAACCGAATCTATACAAACATTACAAAATAGGTCAGCAAACATCACAAATCCAGCACTGTAACTGGAAAATTTCCTCCGGCCGCCGAAAAACTCTCTCTCCCCCGCTCGCCAACAAATAATTCCCATCCCAAATAATTCCCATCATCACCTCTCTCTCCCCGCTCGCCTACAAATAATTCCCATCATCATCATCTCTCTCTGACCGTAGCTGTTGGGGAAATTAAATCCCACAGGCAAAAGCTTGTTTGGGGAAATTAATCCCCACCCTGGGAACGGCGGCGCGGGTTGAGGAGCTGCAGGGAGAATTCCCAAAAAATGAAATTGTTGCGCGTTCGGGGAGAATAGCATTATGTTTTTTTAATTGTTAAATAAATTAATTATGTAATTACCACATTACCCTTCATTAAACTATATAGATCTGAACCATTAGATTTTAATGAGGTTCAATGATTGAGATTGACTTAGTCATGTGACTAAGGGACCCCCCTTAGTCACCTGATCTTAGCCTGTATTTTGGGATGAGTATTGGGACGACCTCGGAGTGCCGCACGCGGACCCGGACAAGTTCTTCGATATATATATATATGGTGACTACTTCGGTGCACTCATAAAAATGAGTGCGTTCAATGCACCCAACTAAAAACTAGTCTTAAGGTGTTTGGTTTTGAATTTTAATTTGTAGAATCAGTGTAATATGATGATATAACATATGCTAACAACTAATTAGCGGATTACCCTAAGCCCTAGACCTCCAATTTTGAGTTCTATCCCTAAACCCCAAATTGTAAACCCTAACCCTAAATCTAAATCTCTAAACTCTAAATCCTTCAAATAAAGTAAATCTTTAATGGTTTTTGTGCAAATTCATGTGCGTTATTGTTCATCACATCATAAGTGATGATCGACATCATTTTGACATAAATCGCATGTTTAAAATGACGATTATGAAACGAGTGCACCGAATGCACCCACCTCTAAAAGTGGTCATAATACATCAAATTTTGAAATTTAATTGGTAGCATTAGTCTCATATTATGATATAACACAGAATCAAAACAAATCAACCCATTACCCTAACCTATTAACATTCAATTTTGAATCTAAACCCAAAATCCCAAATTGTAAACCCTAACTCTAACCCTAAATTCCTAAACCCTGAATCATTCAAATTAAAGTGAATCTTGAATGATTTTTGTACAAATTCATGTGGTTCTTGTTCATCATACCACAAGGGATGATTGACATCGTTTTCACATGAATCGTCTGCTCAGAATAACGATTATGAGCAGGGTGCATTGTAAACACTTTCGTTTACACATAAAATCTTTAGTGTGTAAAATCGGACTAAATTGCGTTTTTATGATTAAAAGCTTACGCTTTTACGCTCCTGGTTCACCAAAACGATTTACAGTTTTACGCTTCTAGTTCACTAAATGAGTATTTTGTTCATGAAATTAATTATAAAAAGTATATTTTAAAGGTAAATCACCAACAATATGCTATATTTGAGATTAAAAGATACATGATTTTTTTTCCAGAAATAGCACTGTTTATTTTTTTTTTACAAAAATAACACCTAGTCCCGAAAAATTCCAAAAATAGAACCCTTTCAGCAAAACCGCCACCCCTCCCCGCGGTTTAGACGAAAAGCGCTAGGTTGGGGCGCAATTTTCGATGAAAACTGCATGGTTACGGGGCAAAACCGCTGCCCAACCCTGCGGTTTGGTCCATGAATTTTTTTTCCGAAAAATCCTAACCTAGGTGAAAACTTCAAACGAATGTATCTTTGTGTTCGGGTATCCGATCGTCGTGATTTTTTTTTAATTCCGCTTAACTTTTCGAGATCTTGCAAGCCGCACCTTCGTCCCAAAAAAATATCCTTTGCTACCCCGAACGAGCTTTTTCACGATTTTGTCAAACTTTGGACGACCATAACTTTGTACTCCAAAATCCGAACGTCATGAACTTTTTTTTTTCATTTTGCATAACGTTTTAAGGACTACAAC